CCTGTTTCAACAATGGCTTGTAGATAGTTATGTAAAAATTGAAAAGGATAGAATAAATTATTGGAAAAATTATCAAAAAGAATTACGAACTGAAACATATCAAGGTTTAAAAGATTATATACAAACTATGGCGAGTAATTTAAATGGACGTATTGGAAAGATGGTTATACTTCCATCGACATTTACTGGATCTCCGCGTAATATGTTACAAAATTATCAAGATGCGATGGCAATTGTTGCTAAATTTGGTAAACCAGATCTTTTTATTACGATGACTTGTAATCCTAAATGGCGCGAAATTGAAGAAAATCTTTTAGATGGTCAACAAGCTTCTGATAGACCTGACATTTGTGCACGTGTTTTTAATATTAAAAAAGATTATTTGATTGATTTGATTGTAAAGCAAAAATTTTTTGGAGAAGTAGCAGCCTTTGTATATGTTATTGAATTTCAAAAACGTGGTTTGCCTCATGTTCACATGTTAATTACTTTAAAATACAATTTTAAAATAACAACTCCACAAATAGTTGACAAATACATCTCTGCTGAAATTCCTAATCCATGTGAAAATCATACTTTACATAACATAGTTATGAAACATATGATTCATGGACCTTGTGGTGATTGGTGTTTAGTAAATGGAAAATGTTCAAAACATTATCCAAAATCATATCTTGAAGAAACTAGAATGAATGAAGATGCTTATCCTTATTATCGTCGAAGAGATAACCCTGGTAGCAAGCTGACGTCAAAATGACGCCATTTGACGTCAAAATGACGTCAAAATGACGTAGCTTGCTACCTGGGAATGGTAGAAGTTTTGAACGTCCTGGTGGATATATAGTTGATAATCGTTATGTAGTACCATATTGTCCTATTTTATCAATTATTTTTAATTGTCACATAAATGTTGAGATAGTTTCAAGTATCAAATCTGTTAAATATCTGTATAAATATATTTACAAAGGTCACGATGTTGCCGCTATTAGAATTGAACCAATTACAGAAAATATAATTATTGATCATGATGAAATACATAATCATATAGAAACTCGTTATGTTGGACCTGTAGAAGCCAGTTGGCGAATTCTTGAAAAAAAAATTACAAGATAAAAGTCATACTATAGTACGTTTGCCAGTTCATTTTCCTAATGAACAAAATGTTATAATTGAAAATGAAACCGTTGAAGAAGCAATGACGACTGCTATGAATCAAGTTAGTATGTTAATTGATTATTTTAATTTAAATTCTCACGATGAAGAAGCAAGACAGTATTTATATGTAGAAATTCCGCGTTATTATTTATTTAAGAAAGAGAAAATTAATGGAAGAAATATTTCGCGTTGGGTAAAACGCAAAAGTCATTATAATTGTATAGGACGAATGTATTCCGTTAGTCCAACACAAATAGAACTATTTCATTTACGATTATTATTACTCACTGTAAAAGGAGCTACAAGTTTCGAAGATTTAAGAACTATAAATGGAGAAGTATGTCAATCGTTTTGCGGCATGTTTAGCTCTAGGTTTGATTGAAGACGATGATGAATGGAAACGAGCTATGAATGAAGCGGTTGGATGGATGATGCCAAGACGAATTCGTAGATTATTTGTACGTATATTATTATATTGTCAACCATTACATCCTGAAGAACTCTG